AAAAAAAAACAGCGTAGTCTGCCAAAAATGTTAATCCTTGTTATTTTGCATGTCCCCTGCCTTGTAGCATGTAGCTTTTAGCATTGTGTTATAATGTGTTTAATAAACTGTTTCTAAACCACCGTGTAGCATCATCACATTTAATAAGCATAACCAGACTTCATGGTTCATGTTCTGACTTTTACCCTGTAGCAGCAAACTCACCCTAACAAACATCCTTGTTGGCAGGCTGATGTACTGAAGTGGATAGAAGCTAAAGTCAAAGACCACTTCGTCCAATACTGAAGACTACCTCAATGTATTAAATTATGCAGTGTAGTGAAATACAAGACAAACACGGACTACCAATTGGAAAATATGCTGTGCACACTCTTAATTGCAACAATCTTTCAAGCCTGAATTTTATTTGACACAAGAAGCCCTGAAGTTGAAGCTGAGGATTTGGGAGACCAGTTTAGAGGTTGTGTGTCAGCAAAGTGGTTAGCTAAGCTACTTATCGTATTATATAGAGTTATTGTCATGTTTGGCTTGGTTCTGTCTGAGAAGCTTTCATTGCAAGCACTTTGCTGTCTTCCCTGAAGGAATATTGGAGATAAATAAGAAAAGAAACACAAAAACAAGAGAACAAAAAAGAGATAATTCCTCAGCAATGTGGTGAAAGGAAATTGCAAAAAGCACAGAAAAAGATTAGGCTTTTCTTCTTTATTTAACGGACTGTGGAAAAAAAGTTAAAGAAACAGAGCAGCACATGCCAGCACCAGCACCGTCTTCATCAAGGTCACATTGAGAGTTTTACATGTTGCTTTCCCATTTTTAAGTGCAGTCTACAATTAAGTAATGAAACGTTTTGCACACTCTGAGTTTTCAGCAACACTCTGTTTACATTATTCACCCAAACTGCACTCTCTCCTCTTCAGTCTGTGTCAAGTGCAAATAATAGTCTGAGAGTTTTTGTGAGTAACGTTAAAGTTGAAAAAACAACTAATTGTTAATTTGCTGACACTTCTTAGTGGCACAATAGGCAGCTGCCAAGATCCTCACTCATCCAATTTACCCTCCTACTGAACAATGGGTTCCAATCCTACACGCTACTGCCAAACTTCACGGCAGAACATATCAAGGCATCAACAGAAAGTCCTGTAACCACTACTATAGCAAAATACAAAAGGGAAAGAAAACAACTACAAAGAGACACAAGATCATGGTTTGTGTAGTAAGCACGTTTGTTACGTATGTGACGTAGTACGTGACGTTACGTTTGTAACTTCACACGGGACACAAACAGTGGCTCACGGGTAAAAGTCCTGTGTTTGTTTCACCTTTTTACTATGTTACCTGACTTCCTCCTTTGCTCCCGTCATAACTACTATCGTAACTAGAGATTGTAGACTAACAACAAACATAAACTTAATCATAATAAGCTGTTTACACAGACGACCGATACAGTTATTTTTTGGGTGAGGACGGCTTAACAAAGAGATTCAAAACGTCCAGAGAGAGACACAATCCTTCCGTGTATCTGCATGTGCTGATCTGGAGCTGGACAGATCGCGGATTCCTGCTCGTCCTCACATCACTGACCCTGCAGTAAAAGAGATTCAGCTGTAGCGAAAAATGTGTATTCATTGAAAATCCCAATTTTTGTGTCAACTCCAAATTCACAATAATTTGTCAGCTAGGAAACATTTGCTTTGCCTAGATTCCTCAAAATATATATTTTTTTCTATTTCTAATTTGTCATTTGCTTTCAGAGGTAAGATTTTCAGGTGCTTTTGAAACCAGGCTCTGCGCATTGATGTTCTTATGAGACAGATTTTGTCTGGGTCAGTGCATGTCAAAGCAAGAGGACTCTTAGAGTGCCCTGAAGACATAGATAAAAGACTGCTTTAGCTACCCAGCTTTTCCTTCGGATTTCCGAGGTCACGACACGACTGACAAAATACCCACAGGATGGTTCTGGCAACGATACACAGCAATATTTTAAGTTTAAGGGAGCTGCTGACAATGTACAACTGTGAGTTTGAATGATGGCTTTTAAAAGAGAGAGTTTAACAGATGTAAACAGTGCCTATGAAGTAGAGGTCATTAACCAGGCCATGTTGTCCCCCAACAGGTTTCATGGCCCACACATTTACTGTATTCATTCACTCTCACACCTCTTATGATCCTAAAATATGGCTGTACCAGCCTGCTGTTTTCAACAAAGACCCCTAGAACCCACTGTATTCTACCTGTCAAACACTAAAAGACCATTAAAGTTAGTGACTATTTGGGGAACATAGTGGCGTTTTTGCAGCTAAAGAGCTAAATATATTTGTCAGCAGTTGGTGGAGACCAAATATGAGATAAAAGGAGAGTGAATATTAGATTTACATTTGTAAAGTAGCCAGAAACACAACTCAAAATGAATGATGATGTCAGATTGATGTGTAAAATTGTAATTGCTTCCAGTTATCGTGGTTAATTAGACCTTTGCTCGGGTTGAATTTGGTGAAGCTACGCGGTTAATGCAAATACACTCCAAGTAAAATCAGCATTTTCTCATTCATTCCAGCCCAGCTCTGGTGACAGATACGCTCTGGTGTCAGCTCAAACATTGTCTGCATAATTGTGCGTTTAATTTTATGGCCTGTTTTAATCACATAGTGTGCGTGTGTGTGTGTGTCTGTGTGCTGCCCCTACATTTGTGTGTGTCTCAGGATTAACTGTTGTATTCCCGAAGTCTATCGATCTTGCCAATGGAAGACAGATCGCTGTCTAACAATATAGACAAAAAAATCAACCGTGGATCACTCTTGCTCTCTTATTCTCTCATTTCCCTCTCGCTCACTCACTCTCACAGTTTACTTCTTGCAGTGTTGCATTTAATTACCATTGGATTATCTCTGACATTTGGTCTCTTCAGCCCATTACCAACAGTACGTACTCCTCAGATAACTACACAAACGTGTTGCTCAACTATTGGCTTCCTTCATTAGGACAGGAGAAAGAAGCAATGTCCTATGATCTACAGTATGTGGGCCTACATGAGGCCTCTGTGTCAGATACATATTACTCTGTGATAGAACTAGTTAATCCATTGTGTCTGGTATGCGTTTCATTGACATTCTCACTGCCGGAGGAGAAATAATAGTAGCCTGGTGTGAAAGTTGCCAATCAACTGACTAAACAACTGAGCCGAGACCACTTGAAAGAGTGAACCTCTATCCTCTTCCACATCAACTGTGATGGTTCCTTTGTGTCGTGAAAATAGAACGGACCAACCACAGAATGTTATGCGATTTTTAACATAAAATCAAAAGCTAAACAACTTCAATCCAACTGCTTGCTGTGATCTGTCAGGTAAGCGATCTCATAAACGACGGATATTCACGCATCAAGTATTATGGTAACTATGGTAACACATTATATGCATCACCATATGAAAGCAGCCAATGTTCAAATTCAAAGATTTCCCCCGAAGTGGAACTTCAGGAGACGGAAGGTTAATGGATAAAAAGACAGAAAGACTTCAGTGGCTTTGAAGATGGCTGAAGGGCAGCTCAGTGAACAGCAGTGAAGTTGGGAGATACAGGAAGTCAACTGGCTAAGTGATTCAAGGGGGAGCTAATGAGAATGAATGTTTGCCTTTATAGCCTCTCTCCCTCACTCCTCCTGCTGGCCTCCACCGATAGCCCACACTACATTTATCTTCTCACTCTGACACCTTCTTTTAACACAATGTTACATAGAGCATAGTGAGTGGAATCAAAGGAGGGAGAAACACTGTCATCAGAAACAAACATCGAGGAGTGCAGGCCTGTCCTCAAATGCCCCTTTCCCTCCTTCATTTGTGCAGCGAGAGAAGGAGGAAGAAAGAGGGGAAAGAGACAGAGAGAGCGATTAGATCAGATTGTTGGGTCGCTTTAAATGCTCGGTGCATTTGGCGAAGAAGGACACTACTGATAAGAGAGGCAATAGTTAAAGCACTGCTCCACTGGGAAATAGTGACCGTAAATATACTGACACCCACGGCATGTTCTTATCTCTAGTGGAACAAAGCAAAGAGACTGACCCAGAGGTTGTGGTCTAACTTATAAAAATATAACGTGTTCATCTGAATAAACCCATTGCATTGACTCAACTCTTAACCTCAGTATATGCATGTCCAGACAATGTTTGCATATGTTTTTTTTATGTGTTTGTTCTACCGCAGAGTGTGGAAAGGAGAATAAATTGTGTAAAAAGACCTTTCGGTGCAAGCAGACGGGTCAAACATGGAAAATCCTGAGAGCAACACTCTTGATAACTATACCACAATGGCTAATGAGGTAATGCAGAGCAGCTGAACAGGCAGGCTATACTGAGTCAGGTAATTCTCAGAAGCAAGAAAGCATACAAAGGTGTCATGGGGTCCAGTGAGGCACAGCAGTAATGAGCATATGGTGAGTACACACAAATACACAGAGATGACTGAGGCTATGTTCAGACTACAGACAAATCCCATTTGTTTCCAGAATCAGATATTTAAGACGGACTGTCCGCACTGTCATTTGCAAGTCATTAGATTGGATCTGTTTGTACAGAAATCACCAACCTATCTGCATGGGTTACTGTGGTAACAAAGTAGGCATCAGTACCTACATAACTACACTGGGAACGCAGCTTGCCAACATGCAAGCGTGACAAATGGGGGTCCATCATTTTGCCTCCACCAACAATGGCGCTGGCAACAAGTGGCACAGAGCTCCTCCTTCGCACCAGACAAACTCAGCGACGGTGGTGGCTGGTATACATTGCGGCGTTCCGTGCCGCAGTCCCGGCAGGCTTCACCATGCAGCGGGAGGTGTGGTTTCCTCCCGCAAAGTAGCCTACCCCGTGAGTGTGCTTTGCAATTGACACAAAAGACGTTGAGTTGAGTAGAAATCCCATTG